CTTACTATCGGCAAAAATGAATGCGTAGGTATTATTCACACTTATAATACAACTGATTCCTGAAACTCGCGTTATAATCTAAACATTTTCTACGGAAATGCGCAGCAGCAAAAAATTAAGTTTAAATTTTTGACTCATCAGTCATAGTAAACATGTACACAAGAGATTATGATATCGCAGCCGATCAAATGAACATGAAAATACAAATCATGCATGATATACATACGGGGAACCGCATGTGCCTGGCGTCATATGTAGAAATAAGCACTAATTAATAATAATAATTCCTGGTAGCAGATGAAAGAACAGTATTTGCTGTTACTGTTTTTCTTGTAAGCACTAGTAATAGTAAATATACCAATAGTATTATTAGTAATAATAGAGCTTGCCTTATTACGATTAAACTGTCAGTAAAAGAAATAGTAATAGCGCTGGAATGTGTAATAACTACTGCATTACACTAATAACACTACTTTTATTAATAGTCACAGTACTACTAAATAAACATGTGCCACGAGTAATAAGGCTAAATCTACTCCTATAACTGGCAATCGTTCAAGAGCTCTTAGCCCTTCGAACCACTTCGTTCTTCATCACTATTAGAATTTGAGATTTTAAGTCAAATTTTACCATCACGCATTTATCGACACTGCGGAAGTAATCACGAAATTAACAAATCGATTATTATTTGATTCAGGAACGTTACTGGTTCTGATCACTGCACGAAAGACAGCAAAGACAAAAATTTTCATCGATAAAAATAAAACCCACTGGCGCCTGGTAATCTTTCTCCAGCTGCAGCAGCGTTTCCTTAGTTTCCGTATTCATACTGCGCACAACTCTGCTGCTGCTTGTCTCTGATCCTTTCGGTTCTTCATCTTCTTCTAAATATGCAAAAAAGTTGTAAACACAGAAGCAAAATATTTTGTATAAGTCTACACCTCGAAAATTGCCTATTTCTATTCATAACATTCTGTTACATATTCCTTTTATTATTAATTCTTGCACATTGAGCTAGAAGCCTAATCCAGTTTATTCAGAAAAAAGAACGATATTGATAACACGCAGAAAAAGTATGTTACATGACACTCACCTGACTTAAGTTTGAAGAGTTTCTTTTTCACGTGATCAAATGTTGATATGTTAAACTTCTCAAGGTTGTACGGATCCTGAAAGAATAAACCTAGAACAACCTGGCGCAAAAAGTAAAACAAATTCACTTATACTTTCCACAATTGAAATTACGGATTATAAATGAAAGATCGAATTACAATTCATACGGTAAGTTTAAATTAGTTGGTTCCATTATTGAAATTTCAAAAATTTTGTACTAAGCTCTTCTGTGTTTAGGTCAACTTTTGTCTCTATGCTCACCTATGCTATTGGTTGTGGGCCATTACTGAAAAGCCTCGACCCTGAGTACAAATGAATCAGTGCGCTCAGGCAGACATTTGAGATAGCCTCGGTGCACAGGTCTGGCCTGTTTAGACAGAGAAGTCACAGTTACGACGATTGGGTACGTTATACGAATGCTTCCATAGGGAAAGGCGAAACTTCTACAACTTGTTCAGACGACAAACGAAGACACCAAGAATAACACGGGCAAGATCATCAACTCGACAGATTCCACTGCAAACTCAGACACTCGTGCAGAAACAGAAGCGTTGGAAAGATTGTTTGACTTTGCTACCTCAGCGATTTTAGAGGATAACTAGTCATCAAAGCTGAGTGGTTATTCATAGCTGTTAATCACCAATGAAAGTAACCGTTTTCATCGAGCAGCTCACTGATACGAAAGATAGGAGTCGCAGGAAAGATAAACAGAAATTTCAAGTGAATAAGGTGAATTTAACGGGCTGTTATAAATGAACAAGTTGGAATTTATCTGCATCGGTACCGATCAA